CCCACCCACCAACCCAACCACACACACCCACACACACCCACACCCACCCACCAACCCAACCACACACACCCACACCCACCCACCAACCAAACCACACACACCCACACCCACCCACCAACCCAACCACACCCACCCACCAACCCAACCACACACACCCACACCCACCGACCAACCAAACCACACACACTCCCACAACCACCCACCAACCTAACCACACACACCCACACCCACACCCACACCCACCAATCCAACCACACACACGCCCACAACCACCCACCAACCCAACCACACACACGCCCACAACCACCCACCAACCTAACCGCACGCATGCATGCAGACACGTACGCACACCTTCCAAAAGCCATCCATTCGCTCTTGTGCAACGTGAGAAGAGTGAGACGTAGACGCACATGCAGTGTCATCATTCTTTCCAGTGTATCATTCAAGATTCCCACGTGAGGGTTTCGCGATAAAACAGACAAAATGGTATTGTTATGTAACTTTATTCAGCTAATCAAACGTAGTGATTAATTGCACCCCACTCTGTAAAATGTGCAGCACGTAGGTTGCAAAATGCAATCAAGCACAGACTTTTGAACTTTTTTGCTGTACTGGAGTTTATGGATTTTCATAAATATTACCAGCTTTTACTTGCAAGTCAATGTCGGTTGATACTGGAACATGCCTGAGCAAAAGGCAGCCTTTTATAACTTACATTCTAACCTTGATTATTGTTTGTGTTACTTATTCGTTCCTCATATTTAATAGGAGTTATAACTATACCAGCGACAATTGCTGGAGGCGGCCAGCACATAGTATTCGCACCTTCTACGATTGCTGCAACGACCATGGCAACACAGCCGACTGTGGCAGGCGTCACGTCGATGGCAAACACTCTTCCAGTCACCGTGTCAACAGCTGGAGGGATGAATATTGCTGGCTCTGGCACAACAGCGGGTGCTCAAGTCATCATGGTTAGTTATTGCAGTTATCACATGGCTTTGTCGGTGCCTAGCTGAGCGGTTACTCGTCATTTTAAAACAATATTTAGACAAATATTTGTACTGTTATTGTCACTAGAAGACAATTCATATCCCTTAGTTTACGGCCAGTTGTTATAGAGCGTATCTAATGATACGTAACTTCAAAGCTAATTTCATTTGTAAATACTACAAAATGCTACATGGTATCTGAAGTGACTGTCAAAGACTGTATTTATACAATAGGTATTTAGCTACAACTGCAAATAAGTTAAAGGGATACTTTACTCTAGGTTCTAGGGTTATTTTCAGTTAATTTAGGCTAAAATTACGCTACATAAAAAGTTTCATGGTTCAATCACCATTAGAAATATTTTAAAAAAATGTTTTAAAACTAACGACTACAGTTTGATTACAACGACGGTGGCGCCACTCAAAGCGCACGATCTGAAAAGTTGCGCAAACCGACTTTTCAGCCAAGGGCTACAGACCGAGGGTGTTTTTTATTCATTAATTTAAAAGCAAAAGGATTGTAATATCTTATAAACGACATATAGTTTCAGTTATATTATGGATAAATTTGTCCTAAAATGAACATCGTTTGGTTAAATAGCATATAGGTATAAATATAATTGCACCTTTGTGATTAGCCCTCGGTCTGTAACGTGCAAAATATATTGGGAAATGCGCAACTTTTTCAGGGTGGCAGCACGGTCGCGGGTGTCAATGGCACCGTTCAAATTTCGTATCGTTGATGTATAATTAATTATAACAACTAAATTAGGCATCTGGTAACAAGTACGTGTGGGTATAGACGATTCGTTATACAGTAAGTACAGTTGTATGCAGTAAAATTCTAGAGTCTGGTATCCCTTTAAGAAAGTCGAGTTGATGACTATGGAGAGAGCAGTGCGCAAAATTAGCGCTATTTTGCCGGCGGCCGCTGGTTCAACCCCCCATATAATCGGTCCACTTGGCCTATTCAATATTTTGCCTTTATATCAACAATATTTAACAATTTCCTGACTAGTTTTTACTTAGTGACTTCTAAGAAGTAAATAATGTTCCAGCAATTCCTGTCAAACAAGTAGAACTCCACTGATAGCAATGAAATACTGAAATACTATGAGTATGCCTAATAAACACAAAGCTAATACTTTTATTAATAATGGAATAAATTGAACAAAATTAAGGGCCTGTTAAATTTGTCTAAGGGCCTGTTTAAAATTTGTGGGTGGGCCTGTTCACATTTTGGCTAATTTCATGCCCTGAGAGAGCATGGATCAGACTTGTTTTCTTGTTTTACAGATGGTGCCTGGAGCAGGTGGTGTCCCAACTATACAGCGGATGGCACTGCCCGGCACCACAGAGCTGCTAGAAGAGGAACCATTGTATGTGAATGCAAAACAGTATCATCGCATTCTGAAGCGAAGACAGGCGCGACAGAAGCTAGAAGCGGATGGCAGAATTCCAAAGGAGCGCAGGGTCCGTAGAATTACATCTTTACACATGTCAATTTAGACTGCTTGTCACGAGTAGGTTGGTCGGGTTAAGCTTATCACACAAAGGTGATGCCAACACAAGATATGATCAACATTTCCTTATATATTTTTGCAAATACCAAATACTATTATCTCTGTTGCTAGTTTTACGTAAGTGAGACTATAGATGGCAGCACAGTCATAATTTTGCCTATATGTCATGTGAAGCATGCTACCTTATTCCTTTATTATTCCAGTGAGCTGCAATTTGGGTGTAAAATATTTTAGTATCATTCTCAATGACCGAGGAATCTGTAATGCTTGCAGAAGTACCTGCACGAGTCGAGACACAAGCATGCGATGAACAGGATGAGAGGCGAGGGTGGACGATTCCACACGGGATCAGCCAGACGAGGCATGAAGAAGGAGCACGTTGACGATTCAGAGGAAGGTGTGGAGCCGCTGAACCTCAACGAAGTCTACTCGACGTGAAGTCGCGTTCAGTACACCATTACGTAGGCGAGCATTTCGTTCGGAGCGAGACCAGGTGAACCTAATTTATTATCAATTGTGAACGTATTAGGAATTGGTGTCACCAGGGGGCACTATGTTGCTATGACTGGGGCAAATGTTTATGCTGGAGAAACGAGCCCTCATGTTGACATCCAGCCATCTACCAAGCTATTTTCCCATTTCTGTACAGGTTTAAAAGTAGGGGTAATAGTATATGGTATGGATAGATATTATAGATGAGTGAGCTTACTTCTTCCAGTCCAGGTCTACTGTGTAAATATTTCTATAATTATTGTGTCTGTATCGTCTTCTGAAAGCAAAGGTGTTTCTTGGTGTAAATCTTTCTATAAAAAATATTTTGTCTAAAGACAAATCGGTTTTCACTTGCGTCTTGCTTACCCCGACGTTTCTACCATCGAGATATTTTCCGTGTCACCCATTTCTGAGCCTAAGATAACACGTGAGAAGTTGTAATGAAGGCTTCTTCCTGCTGCCATAAACACTTATTTTCTCTTATTACTGTTAAGCTTTATACTATTTGTAAATGCTTTGTCGTTTTACATTGAGACACGTCTCACCTGCTGCTTTCGCATAAGTTTTGCCATGCATACAAGTTGTATATTACGTATATCTATTGTACAGCTGCGTCAACTGACAGTTGCTTTATTTTGAAATATTTTATATTTCATTGCTTATCTTTGTACGAGGTACAGTCATTCCTTTGTATGTTAGTGCGAGTCACAATTACTGCTTTCAAGATGTACCCTAACTGTTTGTACACAGGTCTGGTATTAGACAGCGACTATATGATAAAGGTGTTGTTGGGTGTCCGTGGTAGTGCTGTCAGTTACCGGTACCATCCTGCACAGGGAATCTTTGTTGATACATAAGAGTATATCGTACATGCCGTATCAGTTAATATTGTCAGTATTCATTATAAACAGTATCGCGTTTTAAATTTAGCACTGGTCCTGCCAACATGTCATAAAAGTTTGCAAGGAGACACCATCCTACCCTTGTGTAACTATTGTATTTGTGGAATCAGTAATGCAAGATTTGTTCACTAACTACATAATAAACTTTATTGCATATACGATCGAGTATCCAAGCACACGTTCAGGACTTTTCTTTCTTGTGCTTCTTTCGCTTCCTATTAGGTACAATATTAGCACTGCAAGTTGTAGTGTTGTCAATCACTCCATGACCATGGTGGGGATGAGGGCCTTCTGTTATCTGCACACCTGATTCTGTTTTAAAGTTTTTGTCTTCTACGTCAATCTCATTATTTCTTGACTTTTTGTGTTTTTTGTGCCTCCTTACGTTTGACACAGCAGACTCATTCACAGCAGCATTCCTGAAGTTATCACGTTTGTTACTCTGTTCAGCATTGCAGTGCTTTGACACATGTAGTGCATCAATGTCACTATCTCTTTTCCTTTTCTTCTTTTTCCTGGAAGACCTCTCACCGATGGCCACTGAAACATTGTTATCTACCTTATCAGTATCTGGCTCAGTATCTAGGCTGCGGTTGCCTCCATGGGGTCTTTCATCGAAATCACCAGCATTACCAATGACATTCATTTCGACCAGGCCTGAGTCGTCATTGGGTTTATTTTCCCTGTGATTCCTTTTCTTCCTTGGAGAGGCATGTGGATTACTGCTGTACATATGTCCAGCTTCAGACTTTGATATTTCACTGTCAAGTGTTTTCTCTTGTGTGGCTGAACCATTTTTGAATATAAGCTTTGTAAATGAGAATGGAATAATGTCATCTTCAATTAGACTATTCTTTAGACTTGTGGTTGTAACTGAATTCTGAGTAATTCTTTCCATTTCTTCTGAGCTGAAAGTTAAATAAAACCCCATTAAGAGTTAACAGATATAAAGAAGTATACCTAAACAAAGATGTTACCTTTTTTTTTATAAATCATAGAATTTCAGTGTACTGTAAATTGGATGGTTGAACTGCACAGTTACAATTACTGCCTATAATTAAGTACCTTTCCTTTGTTAACTTGCCCTTGAT